TAGGAAGCACTATTCATAATTTGATTTCCCCTGGCCTGCTTGCTGGGGGCATCTCATGTCACGCTAAACACCCTGCTGAGCGTGTTACAATGAAATACGCCCGACGGATTTAATCTTCTGACAATCCCTAAAGTTGACAAACTAACTCAAAAGTATATTTCTTACACTAGCTCAAAAACTTGAGTTATGTCAGACCAAAAGACACTAAACCATTTTTAACTCTTATGAGAACACAATGCAAAAGTGAGAAACAAGAGCATGAAAATTATAATATTTCCTGTATTAAAACAACCAGCCATAATGTGAAGATCAAGACTTACGGGAGGTGGTGGTTTGAAAGAATCGAACCACAGGGGCTCTGCCCCTAGAAGGGGTCCGAGTATTTTGATGCCACTGAAAGTGCATTGAATTATCTTAGTGGTGTAGAAGCTAACTGAAAACTGATGTAAAACTAAGAGCAATGTGCACTGCTTGCTGTAAAAATGCTATGTGAAAGAAGTACAAAGAACCTAGCTTGAGTATCGCTTGCATGCAGTGGTTTTACTAGACATTTCACTGAGCAAGACCTAGCTAGTAGTTTTACTGCTGTTATACAATTCTATTGGCCGCATTTGGTCCTATGATTTCCATGTGTTACTTTACTATATAAATTTAAACCTACACTACGTGGAACTGCATTAAGTGTTCACCCTTTAGAAAGTGGTCATTTTCGTAAGTCCTGAAAATTATTTCCCTTAATGACTGTAAAACTGACCTGCATTAAGCAGGCGACCTTTATTAAGGGGTAGCCGTCACCTTTTCCGTGATCCCAGTGAGTTATTTTTAATAGTCTTCAGGGGCGGATCTAGGGGGAGGGTGCAGGGGGTGCACACCTCCCCCCTGAGATGACCTGCAGTTTTCTAATACAACTGGTATTCTGCCAAAAAAACACTGTGTGGTTTATTGGTGTTGAAGTAGAGCAAGAGACGAGTGCACCCCCTCCTAAAAAAATCCTGGATCCGCCCCTGGTCTTCACCTCTATTAAATGGCCACTTTGTGGTGATACAAGTGCAGTAGATAAACTGAGCATGGCATTCAGTGGTCTTTTACTCGACCTTGCTTTATGCACAAGAAGAGGTCAACTTGTCATGTTATGAGGACATAATTTTCACTTTGTCACCATCTTTATTTTGTTGATTATCTCTTGGGTTTGCCAAACCTCTATTATTAAACTCAATTGGCCACTTCCCAAGGGTGACCACCAAGTTTGACTGTACCAGCAGTAGAAATCCCATGTCTTTGAGACTCATCTACCAGAATGTCCAACATGACTTTTCTCTGATCTTTCAGACTAGTAATTTAAGCAAAAATGGTTGCTGTGTTGATGATCCTCACTAGCCATGAAGACATGGGTAACACTGGCAAAAAGACAGGATGGTATCTCCCAGAACTGGCACATCCATATCATGTGTTTAAAACGGCAGGGTATAATATGACATTTGTCAGCCCTAAGGGAGGAAAGGCTCCTTTGGTAAGTATTATGCCTTTTAGCTACTTCAGTGGGTACATGGCTCCGATATCAGGGTGGCCAAGGGGGGATACCTATCACGCTGACATTTTTTAGGCCATCACTTTTGACATAAATAAGGTGCAATTGCACTGAGTTAACATGGCAATATCTCACCCACTGAATGAATCAGGTCTTGTAAAAAGTTTTCAGCATCATGTTTTTCTGGTGCTGTTTCAAAAATTAATAATAACGATATTAGCCAGTAGGATTTCAGGCATTCAGATAGTAGAGCATGGAATTTAGATGTTGGGAGACTAGGGCGAGAGCGAGGGTTCCCTCCCCTCGTTTCTTTTTCTTGATTTTCTCTAAACAGGATTCCAATAGAGAGAGGCATGGACACAACTATGACAACATCTTAAGACTTGCAGAGTAGCCAGTCTTGCATTATTTTACCAGTAACTGGCAACTTTCCTAAGGCATTTGGTCTCCATTTTATCTTACTGTATATTAAATAAAACATTTGACTGTATCTCATGATTGTAGTCAAAACAAGAAACACCCAGTATTTAAAACCGGTGGGGAAAGATTCTCACAGTTCTTGTTCTTTAATCCATAGGATCCTGGTAGTCTTGAAGCTTTTAAGAATGATAAAATCTGCCAAGAATTCTTAGCTGATAAGGAGGCAATGAACCTTGTTGACAACACCAATGCTATTACATCCATCAAAGCTGCTGACTATGATGTTGTCTTCTGTGTTGGAGGCCATGGACCCATGTTTGATCTTCCAAACAATGATGATGTTAACAAGGCTATAGCAGCAATATATGAAAAAGGAGGTATTGCCGCCGCAGTTTGCCATGGACCTGCTGGTAGGTGACAAGATTCAAAGATAAAGTTATCATGGCTAATTTCACTCAACACTCTGAAGAATGGGTCAAACGTGTGGAGTGGGAAAGACAGGGGGGATGGGGAGTAGTCCTCCCCACCTGCCCATCAAATGAATGTCTCTTCTTTGAGTTTCAGAGATCATGTGATAATAAAAGAAAGGCAAAATAACTGAATAACTTTCTTCCCTGGAAAGGGAGGGCTTATTAGAGAGGGTGGACTTTGTGATATGTACATGTAATTCTTGTTTTTATTACCGAAACTATGTGTAACTAGTAGTAATGTTTCCACCCTTGTTAAATTTAGTTTCTTTTTCTTCTCCTACATGCTTATCAATCAAACAGAGAATTTAATTTTAGATCAGGAGTCACAGGACCTTTTGTTAGAGCTGCAAATAATCAGCTAGCCGGTTTGTGTCATGCAGCGACATAGAAACCTTTGGTAAAACTGAAGTTTTGTTCCCTAATTCTCTCCTAACAGGGATTGTAAATACAAAGTTATCAAATGGCGATTACCTTATAAAAGGGAAAAAAGTGACATGCTTTACTAATGCAGAAGAGGAAGCTGTCAAGTTAGTTGAAGAAATGCCTTTCCTGTTGGAGACCAAGCTAAAGGAAAATGGGGCACAATTTGAAAAAGCACCTAATATGTTTGAGGCTTGTGTCTGTGCATCAGATAGAGTGGTGACTGGTCAAAATCCAGCCTCTGCCACCCCCATGGCGGAAAAAATAGTGGAACTTTTGAAGCAAAAATAGATGCAAGTTTGATTCAGCCAGAATACAGCCTTTTCTATTTTCATGGCAAATTATGTAGTAGAAATGTTGTAGAGAAAAATGGACCAAGCACATTTATTTATGCATTTTCCATCGCTGTTAAAAAAGTGTAGCTTGTTAAAAAAATAAAGTAAAGATCCTTCCTGAAGTGGAAATGAGTCTATTATCTTTTCTTTTTGGGGGTTGTAAATAGTTAAGAAATCACAAGGAATTTGTCTGGCGTCAACAACTAATTATCACTCCCTCCATATGAGCACCCAAGATTGGAGAATTCTCTGTTTACTACGCAGAATTCTACCGCAAATGTTTGGTAACCTATGACTATTTTTTAATCAGACATGGAGCCTCTTTCAAAAAATTCTCCTGTAATGTTACAACTTTCTCCTGCTGCTAGAATTCTTAATGAAAACCCTGCATGCACTATCTACCATGATAGTGTCGGTTCTTCTGAAAAAAGTGTAATTAAGCACCCCTCCTTTCTGACGCTACCTAACACATGTTCAAAAAATACCAGTACGGTGAAGTTTATTTTAAAAGAACACAACCAAAGAAAACAGTGTTTACAGTATCTGCAAGCACTATTATCATTTGGTTTGGTAAATTGGCCTTTTATCGACCACTGCCCATATCCTCTTTTTTTTCTTATTAATCTGTTCTTTTCGATGGGAGGAGAGAACCTGTTCAGCGAAATACAGTATTGTCAGTAGCAGATTGAAACACGCTAAAGGAGGGAGAAGGAAAACAAGGTATCATGGTGCCATGACCTTGCAGGCCTCAGTTTTGGTCTTGCTTAAAGGCGCGGAGAGACCCCCTTAACTAGACCTGCCACTGGTTAATTATCTGGTTAAAAGATAATATCCCTGTCATCCTCTCTGTTCTTTCCCACTTGATGTTTTCACCATGACAATAGTTTATAATGACTGTTGAGAATCATCACCATTTTCTTTGTCCACAGTCAAAAGAGCTGTAGATAGTGAATGTAAATCTTTCAGCATAGATGTCATTTCCATGAAGTTCATTTCTTCACTCACACTACCTTGAGATGACTGTCTTGCTTGATTTTGATCTGAAGAAGTTGTAGTTCTTGTATCAGATTTTCCTGAAATAAGTTGTTTACCTTTTCTTCTGCCGGTCTTTATGGGCCTTTTGCCATGAACATCAGTTTGTCTGTTTTCTTTCTCGTCATCCTTTTCTGCTTCTACAACAAAATATGAGTTAATTTGATTCACGTTGCAAGTAAAGCACAGTATAAGATAGGCTAGCCTTGCAATCTGTTGGCACCATGTACAAGTCCTGTCCTGACTGCTGCCAATAATTCTTTTTGTTTCTACTTGATGTGTTTCAAAAAAGTCCCAAATTATGATTACTGGTAGACTTCCAAAATGACAATTTTTCTCAAGTTATTAATTTTAATATTATTTTTGTCATTCAAGGCATTAAAAGCAATCATACATCTGACTGACTGAAATGTAACTGTTATGTTTTTACATAATTATGTATTTTTAATAATCATGTGTGAGGGACTTAGGAGACACACCTGAATATTCCTTGGGTCGAAGCCTTGGAACTTTGAAGCCCTCCTGTCTTACTGTGGCCATAAGCATGTTTCTCTCTTTTTCCAAGTGACACACTTGTAACTGACTTTTCTTTAATTTCATTTCATATTCCTTTCTCTGTAGAGACAGTTGTTCAGAATGTTTTTCCTTTTCTCGTTCAACCTGCCTCTCTGCTTGTCTAAGGGTAACAACTGTTTTGGTGTGTTCACGGCGAACATCATTGAACTGCTTTTCTAGTTTGGCAAATTCTTCTGTAAACCTTGCCTGTTCAGCTTGCAAGGCTTTATCCAAATCTAATAAGCAATGAAAGGACAGTTTTCATTTTGTTAAACACAAGATGCATAGTGAAGTGATTTCCATAAACCAAAAAGGGGGCTGAAAAAAAAAAGGCAAGGGCAAGTTATCAGACTCATTTCCAGGTGTATTTTAAAGAACAATAATTCTTGAAGAACTTCCAAGCAAATGTTTGCAAAAATGTATGATGAATAAGATCCATTCTCCAAACCTCCATCAAAAATACCCCCACTAATTATTTCATTTGTTGTCTCCTTCTTTACATGACCAAACATGTCCAACAGACAACTACATGTATTGATAGGATTTGGATTTCAAGAAATTAACAATACATTCTGAGAAAGTACTGAGTAGTTTGTGCGCCAATGAACAACACAAAGTGCAAATGTTTAAATAATATTTTGATAGCAAAATTTTTGAAGGGAGCAAAATTTATCATTTCACCACTTACACATGTCCTAAAATGCACCTTGTTTGCCCCCAAAATTTTGCATAAGCATTGTCTTCAGTTTCTCTTGGGATGGCTGTAATACCCAGGAGAAATAAGAAACAAAGGTTATGCAAGATTTTGGGGGCAAACAAGGGGTATTATGGAGGTGTGCAAATGGTGAATTAGACAATGTTAGACTATGTATAGAGTATTGACAGCGTGGAGGCAGAATTTGAGCAGACTTCCCATAACTCCCCGTGAGCATTAAATAAGGACAACAACTAAACTAATTGCTGAATAATGATGCTGTGACTTTGTCATTTACAAACAAGGATGTCTTGGCTTACATTGCCGTGTTTGTCACTGATATCCAACCTTAAGTCCTGTAGTAGCTGCACTGTAACAATCCTATACTTCAGCTATACTTCAATTCAGTTCTATTTTAGGGTGCGCTGATTTCTACATCACTAGACTTTTTTTCAGCAATTGTTAGTAGTGATGGAAGTGATCATACTGAAACCATGCTTTAGTGAGCACTCAGAATTAAAAAGGAATAATTTTCCAAAGATTTTCTATGTTGAAAATGTAATGGAAACATGTAACGACTTACTCTTATCAGCCACATCTCTGTGTTTTGCCATTTCTAATTTAAGCGCCTCTATAGACTCCAGTCTCTCTGACAACTCAGCTTCAGCAGTTTGTAGCTTTTCATTGAGGATTGCACTTCTTTCTCTCTCATCTTTCAACAATAAATCCAACTGCAAGAAAGTTGTCAACATAGTATTATATGAAAAATCAATACATCTATCATAATCGGTAAGTACAAAAAGCAGACTGCAGACTAAGAAAAACAGTTTTCTTTTCTGTGTTGAACCAACAAAATTTCCCAAAACTGACCACTCCCAGGACAAAACCAGTAACAGAGGAACCGACTTAGCAAAATCACTGCAGCTCAGATCGGCAAATCAAACACTTAATTTAATCAAGAAGTTCAATAATCTTTTGTCTGGGAATTAATATTGGAATAAGATCAATCAATCCTGTTATGAAGCGCAACACCAATACTTTGTCTCTTTGTCCAAGAAAAACATGAGATGTTTTATCATAAGATTACAAGCCTTAATAAATAACAAAAATATTGCTTGGTGGATAATTATGTTTGATTCAATTTTATCCTTTGTTCAACTTTATTTTCCTTTGGTGAAAAACTGATTATTGTAATTCATTTAATTACCACACCCCAAGACAAAGGAATTTAATGCACAACAGATATACATGAGTTGCATAATGTAATGTTAATAGAGGATATTACACGGTGGTTTCGAAGATATGAATTTTATTTTTGAGTGGCAAAACAATATTTTACGAACGAGCGCAGCGAGCGAGTAAAATATTGTTTTTGGCACGAGAAAATAAAATTCATATCTTCAAGCCGCCATGTAATCTCCTTTTTATTATATACACAAAAATGCATTGATAAAATAATAGAGGGAAATGACCGAAATTACATCATCGATAAACTCACGTGCGAGATTATGGAAAATAAACCACTCGGGTCCTGGATGTAGTTTTTATGAATTTAACGAGTGGTATATTTTCCAGTAAAACACTTGTGTCTATATAATAATAGGGTTTAATATTATGTCTCTGACTTGAAACAAGTATTACCTGTGATATTTTATTAGCGAGTTCTTGAAGTTGCTCCTCAAACTGTGCTTTAATTACCGTCTCTTTTCTTTCTAAACTCTCAGATTCTTTCCTTGCTTGTGCTAACAGGTAATCTCTTTCTGCTGTAAGTTGTTTGACCTCTGAAGCAAGCTGTTGATAATCTGACAGTTCTGGTTCTGGTTCAATCACACCATTTTCTGTGGAAAATTAAGGAAAAGTAAAATGTATAGTTGGATTGAGTGCATACATAAATACTATAATCAACAGCTAGTAGTAATCAAAGTTTATTGAGAGTGTTGGTGGTTAGAGTTTATTTTGGTTGGCAACCAGATCATGTGTTGTTCAGTTTTGCCATTAAAGCGAGTAGGTAAATTATAAAATGTAAGACCATTTTATTAATTTTACAGTGGAACCTCGATATTACAAAGGGCCAAGGGACTCACTGACAAAATTAATATGTTCACTATAATTAAGCAGGCTCATTATATCAAGGTTCTTTTCTCACATTATTTTACCATTACAGCAGCTAGGAATATTGTTTGTCATACCAAGGACTTCATTAAGGTTTGTTAAATCGAGGTTTTGCTGTACCAATGACACAACCTTCTTTCAGCTGTCATGTTTGTGTAAAATTTCCGACAGTGCTGAAGAAGTGGGCAAACAACAGAAAATCACTTAGTACAGGACACCCATTGAAAATTCTTAAATGCAACAAAATTGCCCTTACTGCAGGGGAGTGACCCACAAGAAAGTATTACCCAAATCAACCACACAGACTTAAGAGAATATTGAAATATTGCATTGCCTCACATGACAGCTCATATTTTCTGAAGCCCTCCACACAGAATGGTCAAAGCAAACTTTTTATTATCTTACTGGAAATTCCAGTTTCCCTGAGTATTAAAATAAATGGTACATAACCCAGATCACCATTAACATTTCTTAAAACTGAATCAGTGATCTGCAACAGTTTCTATGTTATTTTACTTACCAGCAAGCACAGACTGTGGACTGTTATCATCTTTACTAATCAGTAATGCCTCAGATAGTTCATTTCTCAGTTGTGCCTCTCGGTGTGTTAGTAAACCTAACAAACAAGGTTAATTAACAGTGTATGTAAGAAAATAAGTTCATAATCATAATTGTACTTCTGATGTGACAAAAAAAGGTTCAGAGTCCAGTCTGAAGTATAGGAGTAAAAAATTGATTTCAATTTTTCCACTGTAAACAAACCTTGAAGAAACTGTACTCGCCCAGATGCAAAATTAATGCGCTGAGACAGCACTGCAAGTTTTCTGAAAGCATTCCCCATCTGCGTGCCAACATGCCCCACAAAGGATTCCATTCTTTGAGCAACTTCATTTAGTCCAGCAATTGATGATTGAAAGTCTACAACCAACGATTCCAACTTTTTCTCATTTTGTTGACTTTTCTCAAGTTGTCCTTCCAAAGCACGGTTTCTGTTTACTTCAATCTGATGTTCAGCTTTCTTGTCAGTCAAAGCATGAGTTAACATGGCTGCCTCTTTCTGGCATTCCTCGAGCTCTCTCATCAAATGCTTTATCTGTAAATAGCAATCAGAAGAGCATTACAACAAAAGATGGTATTTCTGACCATGCAAAATAATGGAAGGGACAGAAATAGCTATTTTGCCGGCATGGACCAGAGGACTGGGTCAGCTAGGATACATTTGGTCGTTTGTTGCCAATGTGAATCAGTCTAGGTCAACATTCATTCAAGCTCCTAACTTTTATTGTCAATTTTGTTGTACTTGTTTGTTGGCATTTAGCAGTCATAAGTTTCTGTGTACCTTTTCCCCCCAGTTGCCGGCACCGCAGCTGCTTTTAGCAGGCTGGGGTATAAGTTCCCTTCTTTCCTTAAGTGGTTGTGGGTTTTCATATCCAGCGGTGTCATACTTAGTTTCTTTTACTTTAGAAGATTGTTTTTCATCATAGGGGGTTTTGTTAGGTGTGGTCTGTAATAATCTTATGGTCATTTTGCAATAAACTGGCTTTAAGGTCCTTGCTGACCTACAGGTCCCTGTATCCACTTTTGTTATCAAGAGGAAGCAAATCCTGTGTTCTGATTAGCTATCTGAGAGGGTGCCTGAATGAATGAATGAATATCCTTTATTTAAACACAATCAGAATAAAAGCAGTAAATAGTCCAGTTTCAAATTTAAAATTAGCGCTGAATACAAACATTAACGACACCTTCCAACAGGGTTAGCCTCGACGTTAAGTAAAATATTCAGAAATTCTGGTAAGTAAGTGTTTGAAATTTGAATATACACAATAGACAGAGTAAGAAATAGGTCTTTTTACCGTTGGAATTTGTGAATATATTACTTCAGATGGAGGCTAAGGCTGTAAAAAATGCATCTTCACTTCTTTAAATCAGCGGTCATAGCGAGCTTGAGGGGCCGTGTATACTAAAAAATTCTTATCTAACTACTGTTTATATAAAAATTAAAAAGCTAAAAAATGTACATTAAATGTTAAAAATAAAGATTAAAATTTAAGATTTTGTAATTACGTGAAAATTCACTGATTAAAAAGTTTAAAATTACAAATTGTAATACTTGGGTACCAACTGGACCGATAGACTGTTGAAATTAAGTTCCTTAAATATCGGATCCCTTTTCACTGTAGAGGAAAACTGTTTAAAATTACAAGAGTTAATAAAATGATCAGAAAAAAAGTTCTAGAGTACGGCACCTCTAGGGTATTCACTTTCTTATTAGAAGAAAACCTTTTTTCCCTTGCTCAATAATATTATAACAAATCATTTATTGACCAAGATAGCTGGAAATGGGCCTTGTTTTACTTTTGCGCACATTTCTAGTGACTTTGACTTCATCTCCTTCAACCAAAATGCAAAAAAAGGAACTTGACAACTTGGCCAATGTCCAGCTATCAATACCACATAATGTTGCTTAGATAATTCTATAGAACACAAACATCCTTCACATTCCATGATCCTACTGTCTACAACCCATGGATTCTACAAAACCTACAGAACAAAATTCTATTTAAAAACCCAGAGATTCTTACCTGTGCATGTCCACTTCTTTCTTCTTTCTCATGCAAAATCTGCTGAGATTTCAACTGAACCAATAATGCAAACACCTTCTCTCTCCATTTTGTGAGCAAGCTATCTTCTTGATCTCCAGGATCTCTCACAAATTTACTTTGAAATTTTAACAGTTCAGACTCTTGAATCAACAGGATTTCATTCATTGATGAGAGCCTCACATTAACAAGTTCAACAGTGGACCTTAAACGTTCATTTTCCTGGAGTAGGTTTGCCATGTGTTCTCTTGCTTCTTCAATCTCTTTTTGTAGATTTTCAATCTGTACATTTGGAAGGTTCTCTCCTATGTATGCCCTCAGCTGATCTACTGTGGATGTCTGAGATTTCAATTCTTCATCTTTCTTTACAAGCTTTGCTTTAAAGATATATTAAGAAATACATTCAACCAAGACAATATTCAGTTTCCTTCCTCAGTCCATGTTTTGAAGACTTAAGCAGCTATTTCTTGATTTAAAATTTTATTTTAGGAGGGCCGAGTTGTTCAAAGCTGGGTTAAGATAACCCAGGGTTAGTGCGAGACTTGAATTCAGATTTGAAAGCTTGAAAAGCATTTCAGTTTTAATTCTTTTTGTCTACAAGTTGATGATTGGAAGCTCTAAAAATGGCACAGAAAATTATCCGAGAAAATGTTTTTGAACACAAGAAAAAGAAACCCAGGTTTAATTTGACCCTGAGTTACCGGTAAGCACCAATCAGCCTTCAAACAACTGGGCCCAAGTTAAAATTTTTTAACCCAGGTTGATTTTCCATTTCCTTTGTCTTCTAGCAAGGGGATTCATACATAATTATGGCTAGGAGACAAAGAAAATTGAGAATCAACCTAGGTTAAAAAATTATAACCTGAATTTAAATTTGACCTGTGACATATACATTATTAAAATTTCTCTTACAGGGTTAGAAAGATAACATTTTTTTTAATATTCTAAAAACATTACATTGTAGAACACAACAATTAGAAAACTTATATTTACATGTACAATAAAGTGGTTTTTAAAATTTTTCTCACTTTGTTCATAAACAAGTAAAGAGAGAATTCTTGATCTTCATTCTTGCATATAGAAGCCTGTAGTCCCACTAAGCCCCCCCCCCCCTCCAACCCACAGGACCAAGACTAAGATGTAACACACATAACTTTTCTTTTGTTCTTCATTGCCATTTGTTGGTGGGTCTAATACACTGTATACACAGATTGTATATTTTGAAATTTGAGGAGTAGAGTAATGTTTATAAAATTATTTGAAGGGTGCCAAACTCACTCCAGGTGAGATTAAAATAAATAATGATTACAACTGTAACAATCTAACCGTCTTACCTGTTAGATTTTCAACTTCTTTGATATTTAAAATCCTCAGTTCTTCAATTTTACAGTTAAGTTCTTCAAGAGTTTTATCAAATTCCAGCTTACTGTTTTGAAGCTTTTCTTGATATTCACTGATCACTGTTGTATGTTCTTGTTCTTTTGCTTTCAATTCATCTTTCACACTCTTCAGTTCATTGCCTGTTACAGTCAATTCATTTGACATCTCAAGGTGAATCTGTTCTCTTCTTGAAATTTCATCTCTCATTTCCTGTAATTCTTGAGAGTGCTTTAGTTCACATGTACTCAGTCTTTTCTCCAATGCTTTAACTTGCTCATACTTGTCAAACTCATTTTTACTTATCACGTCTTCGAAACCCTTTCTATCTATCTTGACTTGCTCTTCGGCATTTTTCACTTCAGCTTTTAAATTTTTTATCACTGCCATTTGCTTTCTGGAGCGTTTCTCTAAACTTTCCAGTTCGTGCTCGAATATTTCCTCTTTTTGCCTCAATTCAGATTTGAGCTCCTTGATCAACGAGTTTGCTTTATCAAGCTCTGTTTCGTTCCTTTCCAAGTCTGTTTCAAAGTTAGATTTCATCTCCTTGAGATCTGTTTTCAGCTTTGCATTCAAATTACCGAGCTTTCTTACCTCCGACTGCACTGACAGATTTTCCTCTTGCAGCTCAGCCATTCTTTTAAAATCCAGGGCGTCATCGACTCGTTCCTTCTGTAACAAAAGTCTTTTCTGTCGAATCTCCGCCTCAAGGCGCAATTCCCTTTCTTTTGACTTGTCAAGTTGCAATTTAAGTTGATCGTTTTCATTCCGTAATTTGTTGATTTCAGCTACAGTTTCCGCACTCAATCCATCTTTTTCTTTAACCAAGTTATATTCAGTCGGGGGAAGAAGCTTTTTAGAAGCTAATTCATCTTTCTTTGGAGAGATTTTAGGACGCAAGACCTGAAAATAAGCTGGAGCAAGAAACTTCTGTTCTGCTAGCCTGTTGCCCGCCATTTTTTTGGCGCAGGAGACAAAATCAACCAGGCGTTCTCCCAGAATTCTCTGCGAAGTGCTTCTTTCTCAATATTTTTCACGTGGTTTAGTTTCAAAGGAAAACATTATGGGGAAGGAAAAGAAAAAGGTAGTTTTTAACGATCCCTCTCAGTCCAAGTTGAACTTCTTTTGATGGATTACATGGAGAAATACATTTCGTATTCTTTTGCAGGGAGAAAGAGGGGCTGCGACCAATTACATTTCAAGAAATCAAGCGCTGAAGAAACTTCAAGTCAGCTTGCCGGATTTTAGGTGAANAGCCCCCCCCCCCCCCCACCCTCCCTCCCTCCTTAGCTTCCACTTGAAATATTGCAACCCCAAAAGGATAAGTACTTCATACATGCACTTAAATAAAAAATCACAATGTAAAATGTACAATTAATATTTTGCTAGTTGTTGAGTGGAGAGTTCAAAAGATCACAATTTGCACCAACTTCTTTAATTGATCCTGCTTTAAAAAATGTCACGAGCATCGTTCCACAGATGGTTTAAAATTTATGAAAAGTGCTTCAGTTTACTTTTGTCCAAAAATGCTCCACACTAACATCCGCTGCCTTACCCCCTCCCCCCTAAATGCCCAGTTGACGTGAAGCAGGAGAAAAGTGAATATGTTGACGGCCCATAAGAATGGGAAATGCTTTTATCTGTCCTAGTGCAGTGGCAAGGCTCTGTTTGGAGGGGGTTGGTTTGAGAGAGGGCAGGATCCCCCCTTGGTTTTAGGCCAAGCCTGAGGTACACAAGTTGCAGCACAGAAACTTGATTTTAAGAGGTTTTAAGAGCCCTTCCCTACTGTAGTGGGATGTGGAATATCAAATGTGAGTTGAAGGTATAGTAGATGGATAAATTATTTTCATGACATCATGGTAGCCATACAGGTGTTCCCAACCTGCTCCGGGCATTCAGATAGTGGAGAGTGAAAGCGTACCCACTCGCTGTTGGTTCCTGCTCACTGTTCTTTGCACCATCCCAACACCAGCTATTGTGTTCCTTGGTGATGAAGGGGTGGCCATCTTGGTGTACCAAACCAATCCTATGGGAGATGAACTCTTTTCGTATGTTAACACTTTCTTTTGTTCCAATAAATTTGCATAGATGCTTGCTACCCGTAAGCAAAAACTCTGTTTTGGCAAATCGTCTTGTAGGCAAAGTTTCCCATCGGGAAACTGACCAGAATTGAAAAAAGTTTGGTTACAGACAAACGAGGGAAAATTATATTTCTGGATTTTGATTGTTTCTTGTGACATGACTGTAAGATCTGATAAGGGAATTGGGGAATGAAGTTCTGTTCTCTATTACGATTAGCCTTTTTTTCTCTTGTAGACGGCTGTGTATTTTAAAAGGAGTGTACCCAGTTGAACCCAAGAACAAAAAGAAAGTTAACAAAGGAAGTACTGCAAACAAGACATATTACTACATCAAGGATATACAGTACCTTGCCCATGAGCCAGTTCTAAACAAGTTCCGAGAATTTAAGGTGTTTCTTAGGAAGCTTAAAAAGGCCATCGCCAAGGAAGAGCCAGACACTGCTCAGAGATTAGAAGACAACAAACCAGTTTATAAACTTGATCACATACTTAAGGAGAGGTTTGTGTTGTTATACTGTTTTTTATCTTGTCTTGTCGTTCAGTGATTGAATTAAGTATTGTTTACCTTCAGTGTAGTAATTGATGATTTTCATCGTAATTGTTGCTAATTCAATAATACAGTCAAGCCTCTCTTAATGGACGCCTTTGAATTGCAATTACTGTCTTAGTCCCTGCATTTTACTTGCAGGTCGTAGTTTCAGCTGTTTATTTTTTATTAGGTGGAGACTGCATACTACATGTCTCGTGTCCCCAAATTAGTATGGGGTTTTTCCCAAGCTATACGGCTCTGACACATTAATAAAGTTTTCTATTCTATTCTATGTACAGTGTCTGTCTGAGAGAGTGTTTACAGTATAGCAACTGTTATTTTCCAGATACCCAACTTTTATTGATGCTGTTAGAGATTTAGATGATGCTCTATCAATGCTTGTGTTATTTTCAATGATGCCACAGACGGATAAGATACAGGTATATATCGGTGTTAACTTCTTGTTACGAATGTATGTTTTCAACTGTGGTAGGTATAATTTTAAAGTCACATTTTACAAGTGAGAGTACATAGGTCACCTTGTTACAGATAAGTATTAGACAAGACTGAAGTTAATTGTGGCCAGCCTAACTCCAACTACTTTCAAATGTTTACGATCAAGGGGCAGCTTTTTTAGCTAGTTTATCCCTTATTGACCCCTTAGGGGTAGGCCTTTTGATTTAAGGTGCAATAAAAAATCAGAGATTATGTAGCATTTTCAGGGAAGATGGTGTGATTTAATTATAACCTTGTTCTACTAGGTTCAAAGAAGAAAAATCACTTTTGTGTCATTTAACAGACAATTTGAGTGTATTATTGAAACTGTCATGTTGCATCACTGGGGAATTGAAACACAAAAACATGATCTTATCAACTGTGTTACCAAGATTGACATAGCCTGATTGAGAAGCTGACTTTTCAATCATTAGCCCATTTGACAGAGCAAAATTGTTGACACATCACTCCACATCACTCACCTGATTGATTATACAGCATTCATTCAACTTAAACACAGGAAAGGAGAAATACTATTTTGATTTATCCTCAGTATTATTCTTTCAAACTAAGATGATAACGAAAAAAAAAACACTCTAGCATTTGACGCATTTTCCGGCATTTTTAAAGCACTTTTAGCAACTGCTACCTAAAGAAGGCTGAACCTAATTACTGGCTTATATATATTTTTGTATTTTTGCAAGGCTGATGTCGTAAAACAGTGCAAGAGATTATCAGGTACGTTGTATGGATTTACATACCGAAATGGGTTTGAATTAATCTGACCGTTATCTGGTTCCTTGAACTTAAATTGATTACTTGATAAGAAGATTTTGCCTTTTCCTGCACCCAAACCTAGTGGACAAAACTTTAAGATCTGAGAAGGAATTATTGCAAGAGGTTTACGAGACCTTAAACTGAGAAAGAAGGGAAGAAGGAGCTAGTTTCCAAAAAAACTTTGTTCTATTAAATATAGACTTCCGGATTTGTTCCACTTGAATTTTTTGTCTAGTTGTGTCAGTGTTATTGGGGGAAGCTAGTCTATTAATTTAGACTTTATCCCTCTTTTTTCCAGTTGAATTTCAACACTATATAATAGCCTCAAGGTCTCTTAGAAAGGTAAGCCATTAAAAATCCATATTAGAAGAGGAGAAGGAGCGATAACCTTGCCACAAAATAAAACTAATGTGTTACTCAATCTTAACTAAATAACTTGATGTTCACTCACAGACTGGTTATTGTGTGAGAAATGTAGTTCCAGAAATGTAATTTTTTAGCAGATATTTAAAACAAAGAATAAAACTGTTGCTTCTGTGTTATTTTGGCATGAAGAATTAATGCAGGATTCATTTGCTGTAATTTACAATTTAAAGAAGTTGGCAATTCTATTATTAAAGCCCATCAGATACTTTAATATTAAAACATTGCATTGCTGAAATGCTCTTCCAAGAGGGTACAGGTATTGTTAATATGAAAACTCAAAATAAGCACAGACTGAATATTCATAATTTCTTTCCCTCAATGTTTTGTGTAGGTTTTCCTTTCTATAAAAGGAGTGTACTTCCAAGCTGAAATCCAGGATCAACCAGTAACATGGATTGTGCCATATCAATTTTGTCAAGAGGTATATATATAGTCAGTAGATACCAGTAGTTTTCTCTGTGAGTGTCACACCAAAAATTAAATCCAAAACTTTAAAGCTAAGAAGGTGGAAGGAAGAAGCTTAATGAAGTATTAAGCAACTTTTCCAGGTCTCAGGTCTGATTGATATCCCAAACTTCAGTTATTTGTCAAAAAGTTCCAGAAAAACATAGAATTTCCATATGGTAGTGATTATTTCATAGTCACTAGAATACAACATTATTAACGTTGTCTGTTGGTGTGTTCAGTTTTTCTCTAATTTGCAAAAGCAGCCCAGCACAGTTTCAAACCTTTGTTCCACATGGCAAGCAAACTTTCATGAACAAAGATTCTCCTTCATCGACGAAAATGAAAAGTTTGTTTTTCAGAAGGTTGGCCAATTTTGGTAATGTTTCACCTTTTCTAGTAGGGGCAACAAACATATTTTCAGAGCCACTCTTAAAATTGAACTGTGTTTTGAAACAACACCCACACATTCTACAGTTATCTGAGGCGCTCAGCTCTTTCAACTTTATCCCTCTCCAAGGAGCAGGCACAGGCTTTGTCTGCATACTGCCACTTCCACTCATTTTTGATCTTCCATAAAACACCACATTGCAAAGGGAAACAAGGCAAAAGACTGCATTGGAATTACTGAATACAGCATTCACCACAAGATTTGAAGCCAAGTGCAGACAATAACACGCACTATTCTCTTGCAAAATCAATCACCAAGTGTATCAAATTCACAAAGAGGGTGGAGTTGTGTACAGATTTTTGACAGCTCTACAACATTTTTGAACCCCCTGGTCAAAATGTACTCACTGTATGGAAAACGGATAGTCAGTTTTTTTCTCTCATCTCACATGGCCCTCCGGGCATGTGAGGCTCGCGCCTTCACGCATGTAAGACTCTTAAGCTACCCTAAACCAATTTTGAGAAAAAAAGTGATGATTTTGCAGTCTATTGAAAATCATTTTAAAATTTCTTGTGAGTGATGCACCAATATTTGTATAAAATTAATTTTGCTTTTCTTTTCTGTAGCCACCCTCTGATGTTGACTTCAGAGTGATGCTCACTTTTGTGGAATTTTACACAACGATGATAGGATTTGTTAATTTCAAACTATACAACATGTTAAATTTACATTATCCTCCAAAGGTGAGACATACAAGACATAGATTATAGAGAGCAAAAACATTAATTTTATTTCTTATTTCATGTAACTGAAC